AAGTATGCCAACAGTAGGCGCATGCTGCTGCCCCAGTTGTCATGACCGCTGCCGTTGTCGATGTGCATTTTAGCTTGGTTGTACAAGAGCGCCTATGTTTGTAGTTACCTTTGTGCTGTGCCGACTGTACCTTGGCAGGATAAACGAGGGGGTGAAGAAGCTAGCGCACAGCCGCGCCGTCGGGAAGGCCGTGGGTGTCCACGCCCGGACCGTCCGGAACTGGGTGACGGATTTCTGCAAGGACGGCAATTTCGTTGTTCCCCATCGAGAGTACGTGAAGCGGCAGCCCTTCTGCTATATCGACGACGAGGATATCAGAGAACAGTGCCGGGAATACGTCGACGAGCGGATTTACCGTCGGAAGAAGGGGCAACCTCGCTTTCGGGTCGCCGACTTTCAAAGGTGAGGTTGTTGCAGCGAGGAACGGAGAGTGCAGGTTTGGTTTTGGTGCGGGAAACGCTCTGCGCATGTTTTCTCTCTCTAAGACATGCAACAGCGCGGGTATTTTTTACGGCTCTTGTTTCTCTGAAACAATCCCTGCCTCCCTCCCTTTGGTGCTGCGCGTCAGGTGGGTAAACACCGTGTGCCTTAAGGAGGAGTTCGCCGGCGGTGGGGGCATTTGCCGCAGCACAGCGCACGTCTGGATCGCCCAGCTCGGATTCAGGTGGCGGCGACACGGCAAGTGCGTGTACGTCGACGGCCACAACCGACCGGACGTTGTACAAGCAAGGAGGTTGTACACGGAGAAGATGTTCGTCATGCGTCGCTTGATGTCCATGTAAGTGGTGTGGAAAGGCGGCGGAGCCGGTACCTGGTTGGGAAGTACGCGGCGAAGAGCGGGACGAGCGCCAATGAGAGAGTACAGTGTCGAGTATGCCCGGCAAAAATGCTGAATAAACTTGTCCGAAAAGCGCAGGCTCCAGCCTAGTCTGTTTCTTTATGCGAACGCGTCACATCGTGTATAATATGCTGTAGATGCGACCCCCGAATACGAGACAGCAGTTAAAGTGGACGAAAAAACGGGCTGTCTATTATTTTTTTGCGAGTTGGTGCTTTCGGTCAAAGGGGTATTTTTCGGTGTGCTCATGCAGGGTGCAATACTCGTAGCGCCAGCGATGCCGTTTCATCAGCAAGCACGAAAACAATCAAAAACGCGTTCTTGCGCAACAGGGAAGTTAGGGGCAGCAGTTCGGTTGTGGCCTCGATTCTTGTGCTCGTCCCCTGCGCTGTTATTTTGCCAACCTAAATTTTTATATTTTGCGTTTTCGTTGGCCATCGCTTTGTTGTACCTTGCACCCCCCTGCACCCAACGAGCCGGAAGAAAATAGTTTGTTTGTCAGCCGTGGGAAGAGAAGCGTACCATACTGATCGCGCCCTCTCTATGCGCCCCCCCTTCACCGCCCTCGAACCTCGTGATCACAGCCCGGAAAAAGTCGAAACCGTGGTGATGGTGAAGGTCCGCGACGCGCGTGATCGGGAGAAGACGTCAACGGACGACAGACGAGACGACAACATCACCGCTGCGGTCGCTTGTGCGGAGCCGGTGCTCTGGCCGGCAGTACGAACGATGCCCGACGGCGGGGTGGACTTCAAGCACGTTCTCGTCTACGGCGACAAGTTCACGGAGGCAACGGGCCACGACCGCTGCTGCACCCGTGTCTCTGTCGACGCGGGCGACCTGGAGATGACCGGTCGGGGGGGGCACTACACCCTGGTGCCTGATCGTGAAGTGCAGGAGTGCTACAAGGCGGAGAGGGTCAAGGAAGAGGCGCTCTTCTGGCCGGCGAAGCGTGTGGTGGCTGGCAAGGAGGAGTACAAGCACGTTCGCGTCCGCGACGGAGAGCAATTGCGCGGGAGGAACTGCAAGCGTGTGGGAGAGTTCAACTGGATCTCTGCCGACTGCGACTGCCACGACTGCAAGCGAACCCCATTCGTCGACTCCTCGCGGGTGCCGTTCAACCGGCGCGACTTGTCCGCAAGTGACGGGCAAGGAGACTTCTGCCTACTCCCTGATCACGAGGTGTTGGCCCTTTACTTCCACGACGAAACGACGGCGAAGGAGAACGACGATGGCGGCTGCCAGTGGATGGATGGTCAAAAAGGAGCCGCCATCAAGAAGAAGGGGGAAGGGCGGGCCGTGCACGTGTCTGACATCATCGGCGTGGACAGAGGCGTTGCGGTGATCGGGAAGGAGGCCTGGGGCATGATGCAGGAAGACAAGAGCGTCGGGTACGCTCCGGCGGTTGAAGTCATCGCGCAAGGGCCCGCTACCGGGGACGGGGACGTGCCTGAGTGTTTCGTAGTCCGTCAACGCTACGAGCGATCTGGGATCTACTTCGGCAGGAAGGAGGGCGACGGGGAGGATGGCCACGCCGTCAAGTTCGTACAGGATGCGGTGGAGTTGTTGAAAGCGATGCCAGCTGACTGCGGAGTGACCAAAACCAAGAACGACCCGCGCACCGGGGCGGTTATCATGACCGTGGGGCAAAACTCGGACGGGTACTGGACCAACGACAGAATGTGCAAGCAGATTCCGGGGTTGATCGCCATCCACGAGCTGACGAGTGAGCCCCACCGCCCAATGGTGATGGTCTTCGACAACTCCACGGGGCACGCCGCGTACGAGGAAGGCGCACTGGTGGCTAGCCACATCCAAAAGAAGCCGGGCGGGGGGCAGGTCATTCTTGACGATTTCCTCGACGATCAGGGGAACCTTGTTCACGCCACATTTCGCGAGGGCGATACGGTTCTTTTCGACACGCACGTCTACGCCGCAAAGACGCCCGAGCAGCTGGAGGAGGAAGAGAGGGAGGCGGCGAAAAAGGATCCAAAATACAAGAGGCCCAAGTTCGGCAGCAGCCTTGGAGACTTCAAAGCGGGCGAAAAAGTACGGACTACCGGCCGTACCTCAGGCCTGATCGGCCAGGCGAAAGGCGGACAGCAGCTGCTCATGGAGATGGGCTTGTGGGACGTTCCTGGCCAGGCTCCCATTCGGGTTCTCGAGTGCAAAGCGTGCAAAGAGGAAAGGAAGGCAATAAAGGCAGCAATAACCGCGTTCAACCGCGGCGGAGAGGCACGGCAGCAGGCGTTGGATGATGCTGCGCGCGAAGACCAGGACGGTGGAGGAGACGGTGCCTCGCCAGAGGAGGGGACAGAAGGCGGGGCGGCTGGCAACCGTGTCGGCATGAGGCGTCGCTGCTGCATTAGGAAAGTTTTTGCAGAGCTCAAGGCGTTCAAGATGGAGCTCAACAAGATCGAAAAGATGTTCAAGAAAGCGGGGCACATCTGCATATTCTTGGCGAAGTATCACCCAGAGCTCAACGCCATCGAGCGGTACTGGGGATACGTCAAGCACCTCCTTCGCCTCTCCTGCGAGTACTCTCTCCCGCATATGCTTGAGATTCTGCCAGGCGCCTTGAGTGGCGTCCCGCTGGGGTTTGTTCGCGGGTGGAGCAGGGTGACGTGGCTGTATCTCGAGGCCTACGACGAGGGATTGGTGGACTACCTCGAGGTCCGCGACCTCAAGAAGTGGTTGAGCCACCGTTCCCCCACGGAGAGGGGTGACTCCGTGGTTCTGGCGAGGGCAGGGGCAGGGAAGACGGAGGAGGAGAAGAAGAAAGCAGAGGAGAAGGCGCTAGCAGCCGCGCAGGAGCTGCGTACTGAGTCGATTAAGAGGGCGAAAAAGAATTTCAAATCGTTCAAGCAGAAAAGGGCGCTGCTCTCGCTGTGCGAAAAGCGCGAGCTGCGCCCGCGGTCGCGGTCGCCTTTAACTTTGAAGGAAGCGTTTAGGTTGTTGGTGAGATTCCTAGGAAAATAAGCTGTCCGAAACGCGCAAGCGTAGACGGAGGTGTGTGTCGTGGTGTTTGTGTTTTTGTATTTGTGGTGTTCACTTTAATTATAATCATTTTTGTGTGTTTGTGTCGTGGTGTTCGCTTTTGTAAATCGTGTCCTGTGAGGCGAGGGTTACCCGTTCAGAGCGTGTTTGGGCTCTTACCGGACATTTACAGTGTGATTAGGAGGTTCCGTGAAGAGGTTAGGGGGCCCCGTGGGGGGTCGGAGGGGGGGTAGGGGTTCCGTGGATCATTATGACCAAAAAGTCGCATTTTGTCCAAACACAAAAAACTCATCGGATATCGACGCAGCTCGACGCCGCCGTCACGGCCAAAGCAGTTTCACCTTCCAAATCGTTTTTGCTCGAAAGTTATCGCTAAAAAACAAAATGGACAAATTGTCCTGGACTGACCATAGATTTTTCACACAGGGCCCCTCTCCCTCGTCCAAGCCTGCAAAGACGATGGGTGATGTGACCATGGTTGTGATGGGGGGCGGGATGCTGAGCAGCAGGCTCATGTGTAACGTTGGTGTCCCCGCGGCTGGTAACACAGAGGGTAGGTACGTCGTGTGTCCCTGTCCACGTGTCTGTTGGGAACCACCATCTTCTGCTGTCTGTGCTGCTGCGTGGTGTCCGAGCTCGCCACCATGACGAGTTCTACTGGTACCTCGTGTCACTGCTGGATCTAGCATCAAGACCATGGGTGGCAGAGGGTGCCGCCTGAGTTGAGCTAGAAAGTAACCGGAGAGAGGTTGTTTGCTCACTCGTGGTTTGAAATCCCTCAGTAGCACGGCGGCTGACCTAGCTTGTACGCGACACTGCTGCAACAGCAATAGGAAGGGGGTATCAAAGCTCAAGCCTGAGCTCCTGAGCTTCGGGTGCAGCACGGACGAGATGACGAGTTTAGGGTCTTTTCCACACGACTTTAAGCATTGCGCTAGCTCGCTGGACCGTAGCTGTGGGATGACTCCAGGTTGGGTCCAGTCAGCAGGCTTGACTCAGAACTTGCTCCCGACCAGGGGGCAGCAGCAACATCGGCGGTCGTTACATCAGCTGCAGGGGCGGAGCAGATGTCGAGGGGACAGGGTAAATCGTGGGAAATGCTCAACCGTACTAGGTCTTTACTCCGACTTGGGTGGCGGTGGCGTTGTGGGCCTCCAGCGGCAGGTGAGGTTGCCGGCGGCGTGTTGCTGCCTCCGAGGTCGGAGCAGGAGGACCACAAATAGAGTCAGCGGGTACAAAGTAGCACACGGTCAGAGAGAGCGGTTGAGACCAAGCCAACAACACTTGTTTTTCTCGTTGATAATTCCCTGTAAAGCGTACTATAATATCATATGTTTGCACGTATTCGCATGGTGGGAACAAGCCAAAAACACCAGTAATATGGTTTACGGAGTAGAAGTACCATCTCATTCCGTAGCCGCTACATACTGCTTCGTACCGTGCTGCGCGTACACTTCTAGCGAAAAAAAAAGTTGGACGTACGTAAGTGCCAATTCGCACTTTACGGTGCTGTACACGCACACAGCAGAGCCACCCCTCCAAGATGAAGCACGATGGCTGTAGATGTCTCGAATAGCTAGCGACGGACCCAAGCAGTACGAAATTCCATACACCACAGCGCTAGAACATGGCAGGGAACGACCTCAAGTCGGCCCAAAAGATATAGTGATGGAAAAGCATACGAGCCCTCCAAGACGAGGCGGAACCTCGAGCGAGCCGACCGCACATCCCTAGTGAATATGAGAACGCGCTCCATACGTTGCCAATCGGCACGAAACTAGGCACGAAGGCGGACTGTTGGTTAGAGAGCAAGATGGCAACCTCTTTTGGTGATTTGTTGCGCGTAGGCGGCGGGGAGGACAGATTTGGTTGAAAAATGGCATCCACGCGATGGCGTCATGCTTAAGTGTCTCAAGTCTGGTTGCCTCAGGATTTATCGCATCTTATTGCTGCCCTTTTGCGGATGCATAGCACTTTGAATTAGGTTGTATTATGCTGTACGGGTTGAGTACGTGTAATCGGCGTGCACCCTTTTGAACTGGAACCCAACTGCTGTACAGCAGTGGTGTTGCACCGCGAAACTGCGGGACAACGAATGAGAGAGCCCGTTCCTCTCTTCTCTTTCGCGATCACTATTTTTTTTTACCGCGTTCTGGTTTGAGTAAGAGACCAAAAAAAAATAGGAAAAACTGATTTCTGATCCCGTGGGACAAAGGAACCCGTCCGTGATCACTTTTTTTCCCTGAAAAGAACGAAGTACTTCCAATGTTAGTTGTGGGCATATCGCCCGCAGGGCGCTCGCATTTTTTCGCATAAAAATGTGGCAGGGCGAGGTCCCGTGCTGTCGACGGAGAGCATAACGTACGTGTGAAAGGGATAGGGTGGAACGAGACTCTCACCTCCGATTAAGCACCCCATGTTACCTTAGCAGAAAGGTCGTTTTTGTCCAACGCTTAATTTGTCATGGGATCGAGCAATATTTAACCAAATGTACAAGCGAGACTGCTCCTAACGTCAGCCCGACGGTAATACGGTCAAATCACTATGAATATCAGTCGGCGTCGCCAAAACTGACAACAAAAAACACACTAACCCAACTCCAGCACGTCACACACGCTGGTAAAAATGGTCGAAGTACAGTAGACAGCAGTCCTCCCCTCCAAAATACAGCAGGTTCTTGGCAACAGGGACTACACGAAGGAACTGCACACACACACACACTTGTACACCACAGGAGCCCAGATGAGCCGAACTTTCACGAATGAAACAAAGGCAAGGATCGCAGCAAAGAGGGCTAACGGTGGAGGTGCCACCTATCTATCCAGCTCGTGCCGTTCCCACCCACCCCCACACGAGCACACCCTCCCCACACCCCATACTCCAAGGGCTCCTCCTTCTCTACCGTGAGCTATTTCGCACGGAGGAACCTGTCGTCGTCACTGCCACCATTTAGTCACACACAAGCAAAAGCGGCAAAGGCAAACAACGGAAAGTGCACGCGGTAAACAAGGGGGTTGGTGTATGTGGACTACGGTCACCTGGGTGGGATTTAGGTCGGCGTTCCAAGCACCGTAGTGCGTGCTCATTTAATGAATTCGAACCACAAACTCCCAAATCCATGCCCCACCCCCAGGTTGTGGTCGAGAAGTTGGTTAATACGCACGGAACCAGATACACACCTCAAGATGGCTGTTGAACCCTCAGAACCAGCCAGCTCCCGTCGCCCCCCATGGACCTTCGACTCCCTCCGCGTCCCCCCACCCTACATCGGGCCCGCCATCCGACATGTCTGATGCCCAGTCGCCGAAGGCATCGCTGTAGTCGGACGCATCGGACTCCCACCCGGGAATTTCATCCCGCGCTTCGTATTCCTTCTCCTCTTCCTCCTCCTCTCCCCCCCCCCCTCCCCCTTGGCTTCGGTCCCTGTCGAATCATCCGGCGCAGCTGCCTGCTGACTAGCGGCTGCCTGCTGACTAGCGGCAGCCTGCTACCCAGCGGCTGCCTGTGCGGCTGCCTCCTGACTGGCGGCTCTTGCCGCCAAAAGAGAACGCAGGGCTCCGGCTTCGATGGCAGATGTTGCAGGAACGGAAGGTGTAGCAGCTACGGAAGCTGTAGCAGGCACAGAACGAGTAGCAGGAATAGTGGACGCAGCAAGAACGCTGGATGTAGCAGCAGCGATCCGAGCCTCAGGTACGCTACCGGATAGGGTTTGCGACGAGGTGGTGGGAGCGACGACATCGGGTACACTACTGGCTGTCGTTTGCGTGAACCTCCTGCTCTGACCCCGCATATAGCAGTCGTGGCAACGCAAGGAAGCCTCGCGCGAGGACCCCCCCCCGTCCTTGTCGTCTACCGCGGGGTGCCATCTCCTTCCCTTGACCGGGAAAGTTTGCTTGCACTCGTCGCACTTCCTCTTCAACCCCGTCTTCGCGCCCTGAACAATGAAGTGGTGGAAGCAGTCTTTGCGTTGGCATTGGCAATGACTACAGTCCGGATGATGCCCAGGCACGACGCTCCCGGGTAGAGTCGTCATCCTGGCGCAGAGATCTCTAGCCGTAGAAATGCGGCTGACGATGTGCGTGAAGCCCTTCTCATATGCCGACCTGTAACATGCAGCACACAGTTTCTCTCCTACCAAATGCTCCCCCTGTGGGCACAGATTACATGGCTCGCCGGGAGTGGTGGTGACCCAACCGCATTCCTGGCGCCCGCAGGCCTTCGCGCGTGGCTTCCTGTCTCTATTGGTTCCGTCACTACCGGCAACTGCTCGTGGTCTCTTCCCATCTTGAACTCGACGCCGAGAACGAACTCCCGGGGTAGTGCTCGCCGTTTTTTCACTGAGCCTCGGTGATCTCACGTTCCTTGCGGATCTTTGCTTCCGCCTTCGCCACCGACTGCTGCTCCTTGTAGTCCATTTCTGCAATCCTCTGCTGCAACTGCGGTTGTAGTAGAGCCAAAGAACGTCTGGCCTTCACCCTCGCCTGACGCTTCTTCCCTGATCTTCGCCCCGAACCTTTCAACCGCGCGCCTGAATCTTGCGCCCGGCGATTCGCTTTACTTGCCCTCGGTGTCTGTACTGCCCCCGCCAGCGTTCCCGCGACGTTGCGTTCCCTCTTCGTTGCCTCTCGCAGCAGTTGGAGAGAATGGGTTCTCCGTCCGTTGGCCAGCGNGATCTTCGCCCCGAACCTTTCAACCGCGCGCCTGAATCTTGCGCCCGGCGATTCGCTTTACTTGCCCTCGGTGTCTGTACTGCCCCCGCCAGCGTTCCCGCGACGTTGCGTTCCCTCTTCGTTGCCTCTCGCAGCAGTTGGAGAGAATGGGTTCTCCGTCCGTTGGCCAGCGGCCGGATGCCGCTGGGACACGGGCGGTGTGTAACCCCCCACCGCCGGGGGCATCACAACAGGGGGGTGCAGCGCACCACGTCTTCTGTCCCGGTTTAGCCATGGGTCTGCGTGATTGCACACGATCATGAACCCACCCTGGAAGCGAGGTAGGGTATCGTCGCACAAAAGAAACGACAACTGGTTAATGGCCAGTCTCCAAGTTTGTAAAGCAGCGGTGCTCTTCTTGCTGGTGCCGCCTGGAACTGTCGGTGGCACTCTCCAGATCAACGTGTCCAATTCTAGTGTTTTTCCTTTGACATGTGGCCAGCACGAACGGATACGCCGAACCACACATAACACGAAACGTGGGTGGCAGTAGCACTCAGCGCGGATCAAATACTGCACTTGGGAGATTGGGCATCGTTTCATAGTATGCTAGTGCGCTAGATGCAACACACACTTAATATTATGGGTTGCGTTGTTGGGGCCCGCTTGCGATATGCATTGCGCCCGGCCGCGCAGGTGCTTGCGGATGATTACCAACACATCGGTAGGATCCACCATGGGCATTTCGAGGTTTGGACTCGTGATGCATTGGTGTCTCTGACCCAACTGAAGTATTTCCTTTTGCAATAGGTGGGTATGTGAGCTGAGTTTGTCTCTCAATCTATGTTTAGTTGTGGCCTGTCAACGTTATGTTCATGCACCCGCGGCCGTACACACACGTGCCCGCGGTTGCTGGCCATCACCCACGGGATCCAACAACAAGCTTAGAATTTGACCTCGTCATTATCATATGTCTCTGTACCAAATGAACTAATTCCTCTCGTAATAGGTGGGTATATGAGGTGTCGTAGATACAACAATCGAAGTTTCGTTGCATCATGCCAACCTCGTGTAAGTGCACCCACCGCCGTGCACACGCGTGACTACGGATGCTGCCACCATCCACGGGATCCAATAACAAATTTGAGTTTTGACCTCGTCATGCTCAGGTGTCTCTGGACCAAATGAAGCCATTCTTTTTGCAATAGATGGGTATGTAACGTGGCTGTATTAAGCCGGAGTCATGAAGAGACTGAGGTGCTACTGCTGTTGGTTACGTGATGCCGGCGGCTGCCCTCTGGTCGTGCGGTCTGAGTAGATGCCGGATATCAACTGCCACGCTGCATAACTGGTCCACAGAGCCTCTCCAACCCCTAGTATATGAGTAATCCAGCGTACCCTGTCGGAGATTGGACGCCTACGCTCCTGCTTCGCTCTCTGTCGACGTTTATGTACGGTGAGCACTGCGCGGATCTCGCCGCTTGCTTGGCAGGGTTTCCAGGGGGGGGGACACGTTTCCGTTGGAGGCCTTGTTTTCTATGTATATGTATCTATATGTTTTTTGCAACGCGCAGCACTGCTAATAATCAAGCCGCGGAGCGAGCGAAGCGAGCGACATTTTTTCCCTCCGTCCCCAGGAGGGAAAAGAAGGCTCTATCANCGCTGCATAACTGGTCCACAGAGCCTCTCCAACCCCTAGTATATGAGTAATCCAGCGTACCCTGTCGGAGATTGGACGCCTACGCTCCTGCTTCGCTCTCTGTCGACGTTTATGTACGGTGAGCACTGCGCGGATCTCGCCGCTTGCTTGGCAGGGTTTCCAGGGGGGGGGACACGTTTCCGTTGGAGGCCTTGTTTTCTATGTATATGTATCTATATGTTTTTTGCAACGCGCAGCACTGCTAATAATCAAGCCGCGGAGCGAGCGAAGCGAGCGACATTTTTTCCCTCCGTCCCCAGGAGGGAAAAGAAGGCTCTATCAATCGGCCAAAGTTGCGCCGCGCGATACAGGGGCCCCAAAACTTGGTTTCCGGGAAGCCTATTCAACACACCTTTCGGACCAGAACGAGATCTATACGGCACCGATTGACGATCTGCTCGTTCTGAGGAAGAAGAAAAACAGCGCGCTCTTCTCCACACCGGTTTTGTCGTACTCCGAGAGCACATGGCCGTGCTTCACCGGCATATGTAGCCTATATTCGCAAGAGATTTTGCTCCCCCAACCCGGGGGTTTCTACGCAAAAAGGCGTGCACAACTTGTGCTTCACCGGCATATGTAACCTATATTCGCCAGAGATTTTGCTCCCTCAACCCCGGGGTTTCTACGCGAAAAGGCGTGCACAGAAGCGGAGATCGCGGGCGCGCGCGATTCAGACCAGGGCAAGAAACACCGACAGACACGCAAGAACACCATCAACAAACCCATCACCGCTGAGACGCTGGTCTGAGACCAGCTATAAAACCAGGAGAGGCCGGGCCTATACGACCTGTGCACCGTGGGTATACTGTAGGCATGCGCCATGTTGTTTTTGTTTTTCTCCCATCATTGGACTCTGTCGTCTGCCCCTCTGGCCCCTATCCTCCACTTCTACTAGCTAGACGACCCAACCGGGGTCACATAGGAGGGGGGGGTTGGACCCCCTCCTGCGGTTCATGCCTGAGGTATTTTTATCGCGAGAAGGGTACAGCAATCCCTTCCCTCGCGACTTACGAAGTCGATTATGTCATGTGTAGTAACCTGGCGGGTACTTATTGATGTTGAGTCGGTCCAACCAACTGTTTCAGAAAGCGCAGACCGATTATCACAAATATCAAATAACACACTCAAGTCCAGATCACACCTACCATGATCGAGAGAACCCGTGGAGGGGGTGAGGGTCTACTGCTGCTGATGCCGTGTGTTTTGTCAGGATGGTTCCCCGCGGGATCGGCTCAGATTGCGTACTTGCGCCGCGCTACTGACTGTCTCGAAGACAGCCGTGCCCTGCATGTTGTTGTTGCTGCTGCAGGGCTGCAGCAGGGCCTCGGCCTCTCGCATCAAAGTCATGACGTCACATGACCATCGACGGCTTTTTTTTTTTTTTTCATGCTGGACTGCTTGCTTCCACCTGGGCGGGAAACTCGGAAGGCTTGAGACGTCTGCGGCGGGCAAGTTGTGAGCCTGACGCAATATGTGCCGTCTGTCGTGTCACAATCCTATGTCTACGCTGCTGGTCGTGCTTCTCGACGGTGTGATGTGTCATACGCTCGCCGCCAGGGGGATGCCGCACGTATGTGTGCTTCTTCCAGATGCCCTGATGTACGTGTTTGTGCACAGCGGGAATACTTAACATTTTGTTTCTTCGTGCATGTGCATCAAAATGGAAAGAAACAACCGCATGTAAAGTGCAAAATTTTGAACGGTGGCCGCACATACAATCATCGTCGCTCCCGCCGCACGCCTGCTGTCCTGCTGATGTGCCCTCTGTGGCGCACGCGTAGCTGCACCACAAACGATTCACGCTGGGGTGTGTCGGGATTTGTGCAACGTCAGCATCGCAGATAAGGCTACTGCAAGGTATTGAGTCGCACCACGCGGCTCATTCCCCCCTTACAGCTAGTACTGGTTCACCGCTGCTGTGCTATTTGCATCGCCGTGATCGCCTTCATTCGAGTTGGGGGCGCCTGCACGAGACGATTATGTTAGAAACGGGGGGCATGTTTATTGGTGTGCCTACTGCGGCGTTGCACTATTCCATTCCGTCCTCTGCTACCGCGTTGCACTGTTCCGGCCATTAACCGCGAAGTACGCAAACGCCATATCATGTACGCGAAGAGCAGTCATGCTCATGTTTCTTCGGGCCCGCACAGACTACGCGGTCTTTTCGGACCGAGTCTCGGCACCACTCGGGGTGTGTCTTGTTTGCTTGTGTTTCATTAGCCGCGGAGTTGATAGCATCTGCCTTCTGATCTCTCACTCGCCATTTGTATTTCGTCCAAGAGATAGATCCTCCTGGAGTGGGCTCATGAGAGCACAGCCCTGTCACGAAGAGGTGATGCAAGAAGAAAATATAAAACGCAGGCAAAAGGAACAGCCAGCTGCCAGTTGTGATGTTTCCAAAGATCAACGCTATCACGGCTGAAGTTTGTTGACTCGAAGAGCCCAGCGGACTCCGCCGAGCCACAAAAGCAACTATTACAAATTTGTACACGCTGCTGTGGCCTTGACGTTTATTGTGTTTTTCTGTGAGCCCCATGTGTCTTTGCCATGTGCCGTTGCCATGCAACGGGTGGCGCCGACACGCCCCAATGCCCACCCGACCACCCCCCTTGGCCCTTGCGGTTGCACTAGCACCGAAAATGAGGAGTTGTACTTACCGCCTTGGCGGGACGTGGCCAGCGATGGTGTGTTAGTTATTGCTTCCGAGACTCTGCAGAACAACAGAATCCCAGTCTTATTTAGGAGTATACTTCTTTTTTTCTGGCGCGCGTGTTCTGTCGTTTCTCCTGCTGCAGCTATCTCGACAGCGGCAGCGGCAACGGCGGCGGCGGCGGCGGCGGCCGTTTTCTCCGGAACGATCCCAAGAACGGTCCAACGGACCGCCGCCTCACAGAGAATCGGCCGCTGTCACCACCACCACCACCACCATGGCCTTGTCCAGCAGCAACTCCAGGTCGTCGATGATGCCGGTGGAAGGGCCGGGCGGTGCCCGGCCCTCGGAGATCTCGGTGGACCCCTTTCCCAACACGGCTAGCGCCAACGCCTCCGGCGGTGGTGGTGTTCCAGGGCCCAGCGTGCCGGGCGCGACGGCCGCTGTGGTCCGAGGGGACATCGCGAACGGGGTGGACATGTGAGCCGCCGTCATTCGTGCTTGTGCATCCGCTGCGGTCGTGCTATGACGCACGGACACGGTAACCATGTTCCACACACCCCCGTGGACGTTCGTTTATGATCAGTCCACGATGAAGAGGATGCCAAAATCGAATGTTGCGTTGTTGGAAAGCGAGGCGGCTCTAACGCTGCCATTTCGGCACTGGCACTGGTGAGCTCTTGATGCCGTCGAGCGGGTGTGTGGTATCTTATGCGACCTACGGTACGTGAAGTGGTTACGGTGTACAGCAAGCACGAAGCGGTGCACTGGTAGGTTGTCTCTCCGAAACGAAGACTTCGGCGGTCATTCTTTGTAGGGGGACGCAACTCAGAGTCCTCCGGGTCGGATGGTTGGAAACTCCCAAACCCTTCCTTTTGGCTGCTCGGGCCCAAGATTTTGCTAAAGAAAACATGGGGCAACAACACTCTTCGACAGCGCTCCGATGATGGAATTGAATCTTATCGTTGTATTTTTGAACTGCTGTTGTGCCTCGTCTCAAAACCTAGGCACGCCATTCAATGCCTCCAGCAATGTACGCCAACCGAAAAGGACACGCAGGGATTCGGTCAGAACGTGGCATGCCCCGGCTGCTTCAGCCCCTTGTTGAGGAAACCACGAGCATGTGTGACAGCATATAGTGGAAGATCCTCGCTCACCGCCCCCTTGGGGTTCAGTCGAAATGTGGCATGCTCCGTCCCAGCTTCCCCCTAGCTTTACCGGAATGCGAGGGCCCCTGGTTCTGTGAACCACGAGCACGCATCACAGAAGTGTCGTGGGAAACCCTCCCTCGCCGCCCCCCCTTGGTTGCGCCAGGTTCTTGGAATGCATGTCGCGGCGGCGCCTAAAGCTAGCGGCGGCGACAGCGGCAGCCTCGCCAAAGCAGGGAGGGGTGCTGGCCTGTAACGTGTTCCTTCGCGCGCTGGGGGACGCCGGGAGGATAGATGACTGCGTTGCGGCCTACGAGGCCATGGTGGCGTGCCAGCTCCGCCCCACAATCGTCACGTTCTCCACCCTCATCTCCCGGTGAGCTTTGTGTGCTTTACCACGTTGCTAGGCATGGGTTTGGGGTTTTCCGGAACAAGTTATCATGCCCAGGAAAATACGATATGGGGCTTGGCGCCGGTTTGTGGGCTGTGTTGTGGGAGGTTTCAATCGGGAGCTTGGTTCTAGTGTGCGTGCGCAGCATATATCATGGGCGCTCTGGCACGCGCTCGCTCTTACGGCCCTCTCGAAGTCCAGCGTTTTCGGGTCGAACGACGTGGGTACTGCGGCAGTTGGCGCTGTGGTGTGCTTGAGTTCGAACTCGTAATCGAGTCGTTAAGCAACTCCTGTGAGATTTATCTACTCAAACCCTGAGACCCCGAATCAAATCGGTGACGTACCAGGAACAACGTCCTGGTATCCTCAGCGCTCCCGTCCTTGTTGTCCTTTGTAAATGTTTTTTCCCCTCATCTGATCACCACCACCGTCGCCGGCCTGCTTTCGCACGAGACATGCTCCCCCCCCCCCCC